CCAGGAATTTTTAGTGGATTATAGAAATAATCAATGCAGCTGAACATCTTCAAATGCATGGGTGACTGGTGCCTCCTGAGTTGGTGGGGCACTTGCCCCCCAGCAGCCAGTCAGTGACCGGGGGGGAGTCCCCCCGCAGCTGATCCCGCTAACCTGCAAGATCCAGCCCAGGGGCTATACGTTGCCAACCCCAGGTCTAGATGAAATCACCATTAGGTGAATATACAGTGGGTTGGAAAATCTCTCTCAAAGGGTAGTCATCACTGGTTTTCTATCAAACTGGGAAGGTAGCTCAAGTGGGGTCCCCACAAGCCTGTCCTGAGCTCAGTTCCATGCAATTTTTTAATGATCTGGATTATGGAATATAGAGTATACTTATAAAATTCATGGACGAAACCAAGCGGAGAAGGGTTCCATGTAGTTTGGAGGAGAGGACCACAATTCAAAATGATCGAGATAAAACATGCAGAGAAGTCCGAAATCAACAGGGAGTACATTTACACATGCCTATTAATGTAAAGCAATAAGCTCTGAAGCTTATTGCTCTGGAGTTTATTGCTGCCAGCCACGCATTTGCACATGCACCTGGGAGCACAGCATGTTGAGGTGGGGAGGAGCAGCCCCGGCTGGCAGGAGGTTCCTGGGGTCAGCCTGCCAGTCCGGGGCTACTCCTCCTGGCTCAACTTGTTGCAGGCTGGCTGGGGCATGAGGTTGTTTCAGTGTGGCAAGCAGCTCCTGCACTGAAGCATCCTTGTGCCCCAGATGCCAAGATGTTTACTAAGCAGCTAATTGGTCTACTGCTCAATAAATGTCTTGTGTAGACACACCCAGGATGAAATATATATAAAAAAGGGACTAGTACAAAGTGCTACATCCAAGATAAATCAAATGCACAAATATGAAACAGGAACTATGTTGCTAAGTGGCAGTGGAGTAGAAAAAGGATATGGGGGTTATAGTGTATCACAAGTGAAATAGGAGTCAACAATTTGAACCTCCAAAAAAAAAAAAAAAAAGAAAAAAAAAGGGCAAATCTTATTCTTAGATGCATTAACAAGAGTGTTATACATAAGACATGGGAGATCGGTGCTCTGGCAATGTGCCGGAGGACTGGAAAAGGGCCAATGTGGCTCCCATTTTCAAAAAAGGGAGGAAGGCAGACCCAGGAAACTATAGGCCCGTTAGTCTTACCTCAGTCCTGGGGAAGCTTTTTGAGAAAATTATCCTGGCACATGTCCACGAGGGGCCAGCAGAGGAGACTATGCTTAGGGGCAACCAACATGGGTTCATTAGAGGCAGGTCCTGTCAGAACAACCTGGTGGCCTTCTACGACCAGGTCACCAAATCCCTGGATGCAGGTGTCGTGGTGGATATAGTCTTTCTGGACTTTAGGAAGGCCTTCGACATGGTCTCTCACCCCATTCTCATTAAAAAACTAGGAGACTGTAGTGTTGATGCCTACACAGTCAGATGGGTCACTAGTTGGCTGGAGGGCCGCACCCAGAGAGTGGTGGTAGACAGGACTTATTCGACCTGGAGGAATGTGGGCAGTGGGGTTCCGCAGGGCTCAGTCCTTGGGCCCGCACTGTTCAACATCTTTATCAGCAACTTGGACAAAGGGGTAAAATGCACCCTGTTCAAATTTGCAGATGACACTAAGTTGTGGGGGGAAGTGGGCACGCTAGAAGGGAGGGACAGGCTGCAATCTGACCTAGACAAGTTAGAGTGGTGGGTGGATGAGAACAGGATGGGTTTCAACACTGACAAGTGCAGGGTACTGCACCTGGGGAGGAAGAACCAGCAGCAGACCTACACACTGGGGAACTGCCTTCTTGTCAGTGCAGAAGCAGAGAAGGATCTTGGAGTCATTACTGAGGCCAATATGAACATGGGCCAATAGTGTGGGGATGCGGTCAGGAAGGCGAATCATACCTTGTCATGCATCCAGAGATGCATCTCAAGCAGGTCCAAGGAGGTGATCCTCCCCCTCTATGCGACACTGGTTAGGCCACAGTTGGAGTACTGCGTCCAGTTCTGAGTGCCGCACTTCAGGAGGGATGTCGACAGCATGGAGAGGGTCCAGAGGAGGGTCACCCACATGATCAGGGGTCAGCAGGGCAGGCCCTACAAGGAGAGGCTCCGGGACCTGAACCTGTTCAGCATCCACAAGAGAAGGCTGAGGGGGGATCTAGTGGCCGGTTACAAACTGGGGGGCCAGCAGGCATTGAGGGAGTC